AAGTTAGCCAAGACGACCGCATTTCGGAACCTTTGGAACTCTGCTGTGGTGGAACTGCTTCTCTTCCGGATTGGAGAATCGAATGGTTTCTGCACTTCTGACCACCGATCATTAGTCCAAGTGGTAGAATTTCGGCACCCCAAGACAACTGCAGTAGTACAGCCGTTTTCTTAGAAAATAATAATTTAAGTAATTTCTGCATGTTTTGGCCATCATTCATCAAACCATGCAATCGGTCGGTCAATACTGCAATCTATCTGAACTGACGGTCGGCACATAAAAAGTTTCGATATTTAGAAAATAATTAATCGTCGAGAAACTTCTACACAAAAAGTGTATTTTGGTTCTTGCACTTGCGCCTCCTTTTTTTTCGTGCCAGTCTCCTGGAGGAACAGAGACTGATGTGATTTATGATCCCAGATCCTGATCTTCACTAAGGCTGATTCATAATTTAATTACACTGTCTAAAATTTTCACAAAAACCGATGCTCAAATTCATATAAATCGTTGACCTTTCAGATTCTTGGACTTGACCAATTGTATTTTATCTTTGAATTTTTCCGCCATTTGTTTTCATCCTCTTTTTCTGGGTGTACCATTCTGTATTTGTTTGAGGTTTCTGGTTCCTGAATCCGTTGTACTTATTTACTTTACACTTCTTGCAGGTCGTCAACAGCGGTACAGAGTACAGTACTGGTCAGTTCATCGCTGTCTTCGTCTGGATCGTCGATTGGCTCCGATCATCGCCATCTACGGAGCGGTCATTCCAGTACACACTCCCAGCAACAATCCACAATCACCGAATCTGCGAAAACAGTTACCGAGGATGCACCCCAGGGCTATGCAGAATGGAGAAGCCGAATACTTGCTAATCTGTCGAACAGACGTAACAATAATGTCTGCAGTAACAATGTTAGTCACTTCCTTTAAAGCTTCTTCTAGATGGTTGGCCCCTACATTGGTTCAGAAGAGCCAACTGTGCAGCATTTATCGTTTTTCTTTAAATTTCTGTTTTAAAAGTGTAAAAATGAGTCACTTTTCGGTCAAATTTTTCTAACTGGGTTAACGTGTGGGAGCATCCAAGTAACATCACTATCATGCAGTAGCCACACTGATTGCTCGGAAAGTCTCGGCATCTTTGGTATTTTTCTCAAAATTTGACATTTTTGCTATTTCAACAGCTAAGAATTTTCTGCTTACTTTTTTTGCAGAATGCTTTGTTACTTTGATCGATCCGCATTACAAAATGCAATACTGGTCAAATTGACTGGAAGGCAACTAGCAAATTTTCCATTTAATTTGCACTGGTCAGATTCTGCATTTCCTGGTGGTCAGTTTGACGTGAAATCGGCAGTGCTTTGATGGTAGTGTCTCACGGCGGTGGAAAAAAAATCTTTGCACTTACCGAACAGATGAATCCAACGTTGCTGCTCTCCAGCTGTAAACAAAGAAATAAAAATCGAAATTTTTCAGAATTACTTGGACAGATGTTCATCGCTGCGAGCTGAGGACCTGACAGGAACAGAAAATCAACTTGCCGAGGTTCGCTCAATCACCGAAATTTACCGATCGGCTGAAGTGACCGCAGGCGAAGGTGATACCATATCGCAGTCGACTTTGGAAGGTTATTTTTTATTTGTCGATTGGAAGTTTTGCTGATAAATCAAATGAAAAACCTTCTTTGATCAGCTGCGATTAGCCTATCAGCTGTTTCTCCAGTTAATCAACTTCTGTCAACAATGACGTTCTTTTCATCTCCCGAAGGGATCCCAATTACGTGGTTCATCCGACTGAAGTATTAGGCAAGACCTTAGCTGTTCCCATATGTTATGAAAGTATGTGGGGCGCCACTATTTCTTCTTGAGTGTTGTCATTCAGAGGCCATGTTGAAGTATTCTAGTTGCTAGGAGAACATACTATCAACTTTGGTCTTGGGCTTTCCGCACCACAAAACGTTGTTAACAGATTGGCCCAGCACATTGGGAGTTTTTCAACTTCCTAGCATGTCGGTATTTTTCTAAAGTCAATAGTTTTCCAGATAGTTTTCCAACTTTCAGTTTTTCAACATATGTCAAAGACATGTTGTCGAGCACTAGTCCATTACTCATTTCGTCCATCTGTTATCTGTCATTCCTGTCGTATATTCGACGCTAATGAAGGATTTTAGTGATTTTGAAAAAATGCCAAAAATATTTTTAAACTTGAGCTTTCAAAGGTCTTTTCATTTTCAGAATCAGTCATATGCCATGTGGAATTGTGAGTCTTGTCTTGGAACTGTTTAGTCCCCATCCGTACAATTTCGAAAAAAAAAA